TCTATCTATCTATCTATCTATCTATCTATCTATCTATCTATCTATCTATCTATCTCTACCTCTCTTACCTTCGTTTTCATCATGCATGTTAGTCCCGCTCCTTCGTCTCTGCATATTCATAAGTTCCTTGATGAGGAAACTAAGGAGAAAAAAGGTCATATTGCAAATTTTAAAAAAAAAATGACAATTGTTTAATTTTTGCTAAGTTATGACATTACATAGGTTCAAATTCCCCTTTTACACTGTATAGGTGTTTAAGAGACTTTAGAGAACGGGGCATCTGAATTGAACGTCCGTCTCCGATAAGATTGAACTAAATGCGGGAAGCTTTAACTTTAATACTAACCAACTCAAATTCAGAACGACCCCGTGGGGGATGGGGGGGAGTAGGTACGAACTAGGGCCATCCGCGCTCTAGACCAGATGACACCAACTGAGCCAAACGGTGGTCCTCGACTGTTTAAGTATATTCCATCGTCTAAGGAACAATGATGATAAAATTTTTGCCATGCACACAAAAGGCAGTGGGTTTATGTTCGATTTAGTCGATAGGAAACTATGTCATCGAGCACAATTAATTATCATGTCACATTTAGGTGCAAAGTAATATACACCTCATAATTAGATCTTGACCACAAACTTTAGTCGACTGGCCAATTTGGGCATGTCGGTCAGTACAAACCGAAGACTCGTTTACCACATTGTATTCTTTTCAGCCTGGGCTGGGTTAGACAGGCAGTCAGTGTCGAAGCAGTCTTCCCCCTAAATGATCTAAATTGTGTCTATGAGGTGGACGTTAGGTTGTGAGCGACGGGAGAGTGGGGAGGGGATACCAAATATATACAATTATTGTATATTATATTACAATGTTATTTTCTTGCCTCACACTCACCTGTTGAGGAAAACGAGCGCTAGGAAGGGGATGACGTAGATAACCACAGTGTACATGATAGTCCGGTAGAACTTGTAGAACTCTGTTGCACCAAACTCAGTGGTGGACACCTGGTAACATATTGGCCGCGGTGGGAGCTCTGGAGAATGGGTACTACTTTCTAGGTTCCCGGAGGGCCCAGCTGTAGGGGTTATAGAAGACATCGCCTGTGACCCACTATTGTCCATAACGCCTGAGATCAGAACGTCACTGGTCGTTGTGTCGGGGACGTCAGAACTCGGTGCGAAAGTCGCTGAGGAAAAAACCCCGTCGGCGGTCACAGAACCAGCAGTAGTTGCAACATCTTCAGCAGCTTCAGCTGCCCCGTACTGGCACTCTGTGGCGTGCGTGGCTAAAAGATGAGGGATGTTGTACAGCAGGGAAACGACCACGATGACGACCATGACTAGAATGGTTTTCCTCCGGGTGATGAGCCTGGCTGCCCGGAACGGGTGGCAGATGGCGATGTATCGCTCCATGGACACCGAGACGGTGATCCACACGTTGGCTTGCTGCAGAGCCATGATGATGTAGTAGCCGGGCGAATAGTACATCGGGTACACGCGGTCCTTGAAGAAGTCCAGATCTCCGCGCAGATAGTTTGCACAACTGGGGTGACAGAATAAGATATAATAATAGAATTAAATAATATTATAAGATGTAATGCTATAATACTACACTGTTCTGCTGTCCATTAGAAGTAGTTAATCTCGTCTTAGTGTTAGATACGTTAATGTACGACAATAATGTATTTATACCTAAACGATGATATCAAATCGAAACAAAAGCATTGTTTCAGTTTAAAAAGCGGTACCCCCAACAAACAAACAAACAATAAACAAAATAAACATATGTAACTAGAAGCAAAAAAAAAAATACAACAAAAGAAAGGCAACCTCAAAGCAAAAAGAAAACAGAAGAAACGAAATGGATAACATAAAAGGGCAAAACTAAACAGTCGACCATTCCCTTCTCCAATGTAAGACTTGAGAGAAGCTTCCGTCGATGTATAACAACCGTATGTTACTTTAAATACACAAGAAGAAAAAACAGCACAAAAAACTGGCATATTGAACATTCTTTACATTATATCATAAACACAGATCAAAGCTCAGCCTCTAAAGGTTTGATAAGAGAAAGGCGATAGCGATAACTATATTGTGCGTGTGTTCTATTCATTTCAGGGGCGTTCCAAAATTTCCCTTTCCTTTACTTTGAGTCAGATTTCAAATTTTGATACCAGTGAGACAGATTGAGAAACGAGGGTCAGAGAACATGTTAGTTTAAAGCACTGCTTGCAACACATAGAAAAACAACGAAAGAAATGGATGGCACACAATCAGAGATTGGATGGGAGTAAAAGTTGGGGCAGGCCACGGATAAGATGGATAAAGGGGGGGGGAGGGAGGAGGTGGCAGAGAAACATTAGTCAAGAGTAACATAACCGGGGAACAGACGATAGAACAAACTAAGGAAAGAGGTTTGCTTTCCCCCTCGATACTGCAAAGTAAGAGGGGCCAGAAAAAAGTACTACGGAAGTAGATACCAGTAAAATCTTCTCTCGATTCGTGAATTAAGGAACAGAAGTTGAAGCTGAGTTCTTACTTTTGGAAGTATTTTTTTTCTGTCTGCCTGAATTAGTTTCTCTTTCTTCTATACTTGTTTTCGTCTTTCCTCTCTTTTTCAATTCTGTTCTTTTCTTGGCGCTTCCAGCTAACGTAGATAGGTTTTGTTTGGTGTATTTGTATCTGTTGTTTTTTTTTTTTGGGGGGGGGTTGGGGGGTGCATTTGCATTTGCCTGAGTTAGAAAGAGACAACGCCCTATTGACAAAGGTGCCTTCGGAAAATGGAATAAGGTTTAGTGGTTCTGGTAATGAGTGATAAAAGGAAAGAGATAAAGCAGAGAAGTTACATCAAAATATAGATCATTATTGAACAGGGATATTTTCCTAGTGCAACCCTCTACGGTCATAAAATGGGTGCACACTTTTCTTGGATAAAAGGATCTCCCCACCCCCACCCCTTTTTTCAAACATCCTCACCACCTCCGGAGAACTGAAAAAGCAGGGGGGGGGGGGCTTCTAACGAAGCGTGAGCGCAGAAAGTCCGCATGGCCATACAACAATTTTAGCAAAAATGCCGAGACGTTTTATCCTTCTTTCTACCATTCTCCAACTTTGTTTTACCCACAACACTGGGACACCATTCATTCACCTTTGAGGTGTATAGGCTTCACAAGGTTTCATGATGACACCATAAATTTCAATTACTTACAATGAAATTACAACGCGCTTATCTCGGGCCTCTTCTATTACTTCTACTTCTACGACTAGGTTCAGTATTTCCAGGCACGGCGGGGCACATTTCTGACCTGTCCAGCAGGTAGCCGCCCCGGGGCTTATCTCTGTAGATTTACTCTGGTAAATAAACAGGTGGTTTACCCTCACTGTAATCAGCCCATTCCCTCCTTCCCTAGTTTCTGTACATCGCTCTCAGTACTTGTTTTTCATTAAGGTGCGATAAAAGATGAAATATTTGACATAAATATCCGTTATACGACCTATCTACATTAAAGTTTATGTGTTTGTTTATTCCGTTGGCTCAAAGAAGGTTGTTATATGAGTTTAGCATCCCTTTCAACACTGCAGGGTTTTTCTTAGATACAAGACCTCAGGAATTAATATTCGTCTCAGATATGTGTTTTTAATAAAGGTGTTTTTATGTCCCCATCTACAAAGTTTAGATCATCCAGAAGGCAAACTTTAACCCTGCCCAACTCGGGATTAAAGGGATACAACGTCCCTGCAGAGAGACAAAGAGAGAGAGAGAGAGAGGAAGAGAGAGAGAGAGGAAGAGAGAGAAAGGGACAGAGAGAGAAAGAGAGAGAGAAAGAGAGAAAGAGAGAGAAAGAGAGAGCGAGCGATATGTTCTATAAAAAGTCTCCTCACAAATGAGTCCAATGCGAATTTTTTGCGTCTGACGGCCTAGCACCTCGCACTACACCCCAGACGCCGATACAGACACGGCAGACATGCATCATTACACAAACAAAACGAATGAGACAATACTATTTTTAAAAAATACATGTTGACACAAGAGAATCCCACCAAGAACACTAATTTTTCTGCAGCCTCAAGTTCCCAATTTTTCCAATGACAATTATGCAGCCATACAATAAAACAAACATCCTTTAATATGTTTGGTTTCATTTTGACGTCTTTCTGGATGCAAATATTGATATTTTGAAGGAGGGCTCCCCTTATTTTCTTTCGGTATATACCTTTTATAGGGATGGCTGGGTTGTTTTTTGCTGGATAGGATCTTCGGTTGGCAGATTGTTTAGTTTTTGTAAATGTTTTACAACACTGTCAAGCAGAAATAGGTCGTAACAGGTGCCGACGATTTCAAGTGCCACCAGAGAGTAACGCACATAGAAAAGCAATGGAAACAGAGATAAGGACGATGAATGTTTCAGGGGAAAGTAGAGGCAAAGTACAACAGATCACCCGCAAGCTACCCACTAGAATGATTGGCACTCATAAAAAAAGCTAGAAAGAAGACATAACGATCGTCACAAGTATCCCAGATGTTGAGTAAGGGTTGATGCGACCTCTGTTTGTTGGACAATGGCTTGTGTATTTTCGCCAGCCAGCTGGGAACCTAGAGGCCTGGCTCATAGCCTGTTTCAAGCTTTCACATCTACGAACTGTGTGCGTGATCCCTATTTACGACTTGAGAAAACAAAATGGCTCTGGGAATAGATAAAATTTAATGAAATAAAAAGGATAATAAAGTTTTACAAAACAACACGATTACAGTGTCTTGAGATTCGAATTGAAGTTGATGGCAGCTTTTTACGTTCGAAGAAATAAAAGAAAGCAATTCCCAATCTTTCATAGCCCGGCCACGTTTGCCTAGCGATTGCAGGCAACTAATGGAAAAATGTAACTAGACACAGCCATGGGAAACAATTTCGGCCTTCACATTCATCGCTCATCTTCATCTGTGGAATCGAACCGAGGCCGCAAAACCCACTTTGCAGTGTAGTTGAATGGTCCATTGCAATACACATTTTACGCCAAATGGGAGTATTTCCAGTTAAAACCCATCCACCCCATAATTTTATGATAAGAAAAGTCGTAATTTTCCCCTCTCAAAATGCACAGAATCTCTCAATATTCAGTAGAAGAAAGTTGCGTTTCTTTCAAACTTTTGATTTCAGATAATGCATAATTTCACTATTTCACAGTTTTTTTTAGCAGTAAACGAATATTATGCATTTTGCAAAGTTCTTCAATTCAAATATTACGTAAAGTTATCTCTCAGTCTTTGACTAACACATGTCGTTCGTGTTTTTTATTTTTTACAGTGTTCATTGCGCACAAGATTCGTCGTATTGGAATAACTGCGACATCTTCTTACCCGTCAGTTTTGGGAAAGGATTTAAAAGACAGGTAGTTGCAGGCTACATTAAAAAGGTGCTATGAAATCGGGAGACTGTCAGAAGTTTCTTTGAGTTGAAATTAATGTATGTTTGTCACTGCTGTAATGCATTCCAAAAGAATGATGATGGTGTTACTCCAACTAGGCAATGTTATCATCTCATAAAACTTTGTGTATACATTTTATTTATTCTCAGCACTTAGGAATTCTGTACATCCAAACACCATATAGTTGTTACAAAGTTTATTGGTTTGGACCTTGTAATTTGTCATTACGGTCAACAGTTTTATGACAGCAGTTTAAGATTAGACGGTTGTGGTTGTTTGAACTAATAAACCTGTTTCGAATTCAGACCGTTTGTTGTTGTTTTGTTTTGTTTTATTTAGCTTCGGTAACCTGGGGAGTTTTCATACCTCTCGAGCATTCTGTGTATGTCACGTGGTCGATTCTGCTTCAGAAGCACCCGCATAGCTTTCTGAAGGGTGTTTCGCCAATAGTATAGTTAACAAGACCATGCCTTACAATACAATACAATAATAATATTATCATCTCTTGTCTCTCTCTACGAACTGCAAACCAACTGATCGCCCCTCCACTTCCCCCCCCCCAGCCCCTAACACAAACCTGCCCGCACTATTTTCCTTTCAATTCAACTTCTTTTAAAGGAAACATTACGTCCGGAGTAATTTAACACGCCATATCTGGCAATCGTGTCTCATTCTTGGCGCCACAAACAATCGCTGTCGTAACAGATGGGAACCCTTGTAAAACATTCACCCTGTAAAAAAAGTTTTCACAGTTGAAGCCCTTTAACAGTGCAAACAGGATGTCTATTGGCACGAAACGTGAGAAAAATGTCAATACTGTCAACACCGCGTAAACAGAAGACGGAAAAGAATAGAATAAATAAGGACAATAGTTTGTGTAAAATTTGATTCAAGGAGAAATCGGTTGTACTTTTAACCAGTTCCTATACACAGTCGCAGAGAATCATCGGAAAGATAAAATATGATTTCCTTTTTTTTCTCTCATTAGGGACATCATGATATGAACCATAAGCTTTCCCCAGCTTCTAAACGCAACATGTACAAAAACATACCAACACTTCAGCGCATTGCGCAATGTCCTTTCCGCCTCTCTCTCTCTGTCTGTCTCTCTCTCTCTCTCTCGCTCTCTCTCTCTCTCTCTCTCTCTCGCTCTCTCTCTCGCTCTCTCTGTCTCTCTCTCTCTCTCTCTCTCTCTGGAGTCTTTACAGTTATTAATAAGTTCTGTTGGAATGTTCCTGAGGGTTGCGATAGTCTATACCTACTGCACAAGATCAAACTTTTTAATTCTATTAGTAGACACAGACTTATAATAACTTGGACGTGGTACAATGGACATAACAAGACCCTGCCAAACAGTTACAACTATTATCTCTAAAAGTTTAGCGAATTGAAATGCATGTTCATGCAAAGAGTTAGAAAAAGGTAGTTGATCTGCCACACAGTAATTCAAGAACGCAATATCAACCTTTCGACGACTTGGCATCTGAGGTAGCGTTATCAAATATTTGTTTCCTTGGTAGTTAAACGAACGAATAGGAGTAATGTTAGTTTAGTTTTTGGTAAGAATTTGAGGTATACGAAACACAAATATGCCACGTAAGAGCCAAAGATTGTAGAAGCTAGTAAAGAGTTACAAAAATAAAGATAAAAGGACTAGATAATGATGATAGACGAAAGGATATCAAACCACCACCTAGTCAAACAGAATAATTCAGAAAAAAATTAATCTTACCTTATCGGAGTGAGGGTAATCACAGAACCGATGAGTATCCCTGTGTCTGTGAGCACGAGGCCGCGGAGGTAAAGGATGGTGGTGGAGTGCATCTCTCGACGCCACAGGACGATGATGGTGAGGATATTGCCCACCAGCCCTACAAGGGCGATCATCGGAAGGAAGATGCCCCAGAAGATGAAGAGGATGAGAGTCGTCTCCTCGCTCGTCTCGTCATTGATGGACGAGTCGCCGTAAGAGACGTTTACCTTCAGGTTGATCTCGTTCATCATGGACATTTTGGAAGGTCAAGGTCACAAGTGAAGAGGTTCAGGTTGTTTGCTGATGAAATGTCAAGTGCAGTAAAT